GGAGGAGGAGGAGGAGGAGGAGGAGGAGAAGAAGGAGAAGAAGGAGGAGGAGGAGGAGATTGGATTTACACCCCGCCCTTCACTTGGAGTCTCAGAGCGGCTTACAAACTCCTTTCCCTTCCCCTCCCCACAACAGACACCCTGTGAGGTGGGTGGGGCTGAGAGAGCTCTGACACAAACTGCCCATTTTTCAAGGACAGCTGTGCCAGAGCTTGTGACTGACCCAAGGTCACATCAGCAGGTGCGAGTGGAGGAGTGGGGAATAAAACCCGGTTCTCCCAGATTAGAGTCTGTGTTCCTAACCACTACACCAAACCGGCTAGACCAAATTGCCTATCGGTGCCCCCTCCTCCTTCCCTGTTTAGACCTTGTGACTGCTCTCCCTTCTGACAGGCAAGGTAGCCTTCTCTGACCAGTGGGTGGGCTTCCCACCACAACCAGAACACAGCCACCAAACAGGGGGACGTGCCAGCCCTCTTGGGGCTCACTCCCCCCCCCACGCTGACAGCTGTAGGTACCCTTTCCAACACGATCAAAATAAATAACCAGCCTTTTTCCCACAAAGCTGCACATGAACGTGTCATATTTACAGCCATAACTGTCCTCTTTAGACTATCAGGTCTTCAAAATCATTTACAGTACAATTTCAGCTTCTTCTTACGTTCCCCTCCTCGGTTCTGTTCCCCACCTATGGTGCCTGGTTTTAACATAATCCATCCGTTCCCGATATCTTATAACCTATCTCCCTCCACATCCCTTTGTACCCCTGCTTAATGAAAAACCACACCATTATTCTGTGATCCTTCAACTTCCTAAGCAAAGTTGAACCCTTCTCATTAACATCCGTCATCTTAGAAGGGGTTAACTCTGCTTTGGATGGCACTGCAGAAGAGCTATTTCACCCAAAACAGACACGTTCATGGAGAAATGCCGCAGGTATTTGTGCAGAGAAATGTTGCAGGTATTTGCGCTGCATGCCTATGCAATATTTGTGATTCTTTTTTGCAGCCTCAGAGGTGCTGATTCTAAGCAGGAAGGAGCAATGTTTACCAAGAGGTACATAAATAGATATTATACAGGGGAGGGGTGGGCATGAACTGGTACACAAGCCAAAATTTGGCATGAACTTGGCCAGGTTCAGTGCTGTGAGCCATTTCACTTGTCAGTTTTGCTTCCCCCCACTTTTAAGCAGGGGGAAGCAAAACAGACCGGTGAAATGGCTGGCAGCCATTTCAACTTAACAGCTGACAGGTGCGCCCACCCCACTGGCAGCCATTTCAGGTCCACCCATCAGCTGTTAGGTTTAAATGCCTGCAAGCCATTAAACCCATCAGTTTCGCTCCCCTGGATTTGAAGTGGGGGGAGTGAAACGGATGGGTTAAATGGCTTCCAGGCATTTAACCTTTACCAGGTGATCCCCCCCCTTTCTACTGGCTGGGAGAAAGGGGAACCCAAACTGGCCGGTTTGGTTCGGGGCATTTTTGGCTTGGTTTGGGGTCCGCCCCGAACTGGAATTTTTAGGTTTGTGCCCATCCCTAATACAGAGTCATGTTTGAACTGCATTTCTTGCTCAGTGTCAACATTAACTAAGTGAGTTAACAAAAGCTTTATGGGTTTTTTTCAGGTAAGTCTCAGAGCCCCTGTGATTGCGCTCATAGGAAGCTGGGTCTCTGAGGCCCCTCCATTATGCCTGTGTTCCAAGAAGCTGCTCTTCCACAGTAAACTGAATCTCAAGTTGCTGCAAATTCACCTGGCAGATGAGATTGCTTCTGAATAAACAACAGAGAATTCAGTCCCTTTCCGAGTCAGATCATCTGTATTTTAATCTTGTGCACTGACAGCAAAGCAATCCGTCTGTTCATTTGGAGAAAAGAGGAATAAGCCTTTGAGAACTGCTCATCTGTGCTGTTTCAAAGCAGTCAACTGCAGAAGCTTGTGGGGGATTTATGTACTCAAACACTATGGTGGATATGGCCAAGAGACCATGAGGAGCTACAAGTGGTTTCCACAGCAGGCTTTGCTAACAAATGAAGCGGTCTTTTAAGGAGCTAAGCTAGGCTGGTGATGACACCGGACTCCCTCCATATATTTTTCCTGAAACTGTTCACACACTAACTAGTATAATGACTACCCCTCCCATCTGCCCTGTGCAGCCACCTGACACCCCATCAATTTATCATGTGACTCTTATGCTCTAGTTGAATTGAATTGCCCTGAACAGTTACTAGTAGCAGCCCAGAGATAAGAATCCATGGGGGGGGGGTGTCCACACATGGATTGAGAATTTCTGGTAAAGGTTTGTGGTCTTTTGCTGGTTACTGTAAATATCAGGAGTTATGACAAAAAATAACCAAATAAGACATGCAGAGGACCAATACTGGAACTGTATAAAATAGAGGGCTTCCAAGTTATTCTGGGTATTCTGGCGATGTATACTATTCAAGCTGCAAAACACCAGGAAAAGTTGCGAAACAAAAATATTTAACCTTTTACCAATTTTAAGTCTGAAATTTTAGAATCGGTATTGGAATTTGTAGACCCAGGTTTTAGGCCGTGTCTGTTTTCAATTGTATATTTTGTTATTTGGCTACATTTGGTTGTATCGCAAATTTGTTATGATATGTTGCTATTTGACGGTTCTCTGACCATCATAAACAGGTTGATTGTTTTTATTTTGCGTATTTATCCTTCCATTGTATGCTTTTCCAGCCCGTCTACTGATTCGTGAAAACGTCTTGCTTACCGATCGATAATGGCACACATGTCAATGCTAACGTTCGCAAAGCTTCCCAGCTTCCCTTGCTCCACTGCGTGCAAATCCACCAGCTGATCGTCCACGTGGATAAGCTGCATGCAACCTTGGAAGGAGAGGTGGAGAATGGAGTGCTCCAAGCCATTCGCCTGTGTTAGGAAACCTGTTGTCAAAAACACAGATAAAAAGAGGGATGGGGTTAGATTTGACCGATTATCCAAACTGAGCATTTTTATGCATAGCTCCTTCAAGGCCACATCAAGGCCTTTGTATACCTCCTCCCAAATTAGCTGCAAGGTTGTTTTTTTTTTTAATATACTTTTTTTCAGAGAAAAGGGGAAGATAATAAAGCGCGGGCGATAGTTTTGCAGTACGATTCACGGCCGCTGGTTTTGACCCGTGTTGCAAACACACTCGAAATGCAGCGGTCTCTGTGTTAAAAAATTCCATAAGGCTAATCAAAACAGTGTCATGTGAAGGCTTTTCACGTTGCAGCTACAGGACACAATGGGAATGCCTGGTGGATATAATGAAAGAACACATTACGGTTTTATAAAATAAAACAGAAAGCACTGCTGGAGAACAGCATATCCCATTCTTCCGTGACCTCATATTTTTAATAGCCCTTCTCAACAATCAATGGCTTACATAGAAACAGAACATCTGGCCCCTCACGCTCCAGAAACAAGAAACAAAGAGCCACCTTTACTTGCTACGAGGAAGTCTGCTCTTCTTTATGTGTGTCGGATCCAATCTGCCGGCTGATTTAATCAGTTGATGACAGAGCACCATTTTGTGCTCTGGTTACCATATGCCCAGAAGAGTTTCCTTGTGCATGCCAAATTGAAGCTGAAAACAGCGGGACTCCCATTCATTACAAGAAGGGTTGCGACAGAAAACTCTCTGATGGATGGTGTCCTTTGCCGTTAATATGCCGGGTCCCCAGCAGAGCAAATCAGATCCTCCAGGGCTTTTTCAGGTCAAGAAAATGTGCAGGGATGGTGGCAGTGGAGGCTGACACCCTTTCTTAACATGTGCCACGGACTCAGCCTTAATTGGGCCCACACACATGTGGGAAACATGGAATTCCCTATGCAGATAGGTTTACAACCCTCAAGGTGGGGTCTGGAGTTCTCCCAAAACTACAGTTGATCCCCAAACTCCAGCTTCCCTGGGAGAAATGGCAGCTTCAGAATGTGGACTTTATGGCAACACCTCCCTGCCGAGCTCCTTCCCTCCTCAAACTCCGCCCTTCCCAGATATTGCCCTCAAATCTCCAGGAATACCCCAGGTTGGAGTTGGCATTCCTAAACAGGTGATCCACAGTCCTTGTGGCAACGTGTGAACTGGGCTCCGTGCCACCTAAAGAAGAACACCCTCTCCAGGCTCCAGTTAAACACTCGCTTGATGCTTTGCTCCCTAGCGGTTTACTTCCACTTTCCTTGCTTGAATGCGGTGTCGGGTGAAGTCCAAAAGGGCAACGGATGGCCAGATGGCCGTGGTGGTAAGAGGAGAAAGATAATACGTGCAAAATTGTGGTGCCACTCATGAAAACGGAGATCCAGGGACAAGACCAGCCTGTTGGGTTCTGGCACCCCTGTAGCCAGGAAATGTTCCAGGAGGGGACTTTGGGATGGGGGGGGGCGCTTTGGGATTTTGGGAGTCACCACAAGTGACTCTCCTCAAGGAGATCTGAAGAGGAGGCAGCCAGATCTATCTGGTATACAAGTACCGCAACAGCGCAGAGCCTTTTCTCTAGCAAGATTCAACGTAATATCATCCGCGATCTTGCATGGGAGATATAACAATATAGTATATGCGGATAGACATTGCCATTGCAATTCTGGATGTATTGAGACTGTTTCGCATATTTGTTTACATTGTCAAATTTTACGTGGATTTACGTGTTAGATATTTAAACTCTCTCTTAGCCAACATGACGAACCTTCCTGATGCTTTAAAAGTGTACCGTCTTCTAAATGACTCTGTTCCGGAAATATCAATGAACGTAGCCATGTTTTTACAATCAACGATAAAGCTATGTCAGGAAAACTTACAATGAGTAATTGTTTTATCCTACATTATGTTTTATGGTTACACTTGGTGTATGTATGTATGTATACACACACACACACACACAAATATATATGTGTGTGTATGTATATACAGGGGTCATTTCATAGAAAAAGAGATGCAGGAGCTCATTAGCATAACTCATTAGCATAACTTATTTGCATATGCCACCCCCCCTGACATCACCGGAAGTGTGTCAAAATGCAACATCCACTGCTCAGGCTCCACTGGACTGTTTTGGATTGCTAGCTATTAACTATTGGGGGGGGGGACGCACAGATCCTCATGCTCCTCATGGCCTGGGGCTGCTGGGAGCAGGGGGTGGGGCTTGTTGCATGTGCCCGCCCCCTGGGCTCTTTACTGCCGGAGCTCCACTCCTGTGCGCTCCTGCAGGAAATGACCCCTGTGTATGTATGTGTGTGTGTGTGTATCCTTTTAAAGGTATTTTTACCAATAAAGGTCAACTGAACTGAACAGATGGCAGTGCAGCAAATGGAAAGGGCTTCCCTGCCCGCCAGCCGGCAAACTGAGCGCAGGGAGGGAAAGGCAAAGAAGGCCACCCCACTGCAGCAAAAGCATGCTTCTCCTCGCCACACAAGGGCTGCTTGCTCTTCTCCCTCCTGCCTTCCTTCTTTCCCTCTCTCTCTCTGATGGTTGCCTAGTCTCCCCCCCTCCACTTCCCTTTACAAGAGCCTGGGCTTCAGCGGTCTGTGCTCCAGGAGGTCTGCCTCCTCAGAGTTTATGATCTCTGCAGGTAGAGTCCCAGCCAGCCAATATCAGCAGTGTGGAGGAAGGAATGAATCAAGCAAGGAAGGAGTCAAATTACGCTGGCAGCCGGCTTCAGCGTGTTGTGGCTCAGATAAAGTCAAAGTAATATTTTTCTAATAGCTTGGGAGGGGGTGGAGGGGTCTGGGGACTCACTGGTGCTGGGGCTCACCCCTAATCAATAGGAGGGCTGAGCCCCTAAAGCCCCACCGCTGGCTACGGCCCTGGCTTCTGGTCACAATTCATGTTGCTGGCAGTGTTCCCTCTAAGCTGAATCAGTGTGAGCTAGCTCACAGTTTTTTAGCCTCTGGCTCACACATTGTTTGTCTTAGCTCAGGAAGGATGGCTCCAGAGCAAACTAATTTGTGCAGTAGCCGAATCGCTCGCTCACAACTTTAATGCCAGGAGCTCACCAAGTAGAATTTTTGCTCACAAGACTCCACAGCTTAGAGGGAACAAACTTGCTGGTGCTTGTTTTTGAATCTCTGGAAGATAAATCAATCTCTTCCAATCCATCTACGGACTGCTCTCTGTAGTTAGGGCTCTGCTTGGAGTCCCTCGGCTGTGCAGTGCTGTAACACTAGTTAGAAGGAGCAAGGCCTCAACTAGAATGGCCCCAATACTATGCCGCAGTGCTATCTCCCCCCATCACTGCCTTAGGAAGAATGCAAAACTCATTTTAGCTTGGAAAACGCCTCTCAGATACGGTGCTTGCATCTGCTCAATTTCTGTTTTCCTGGTTTCACTTGACTCTATGGCATCCTGTTGTGTGTTCACTGTTCTGGCATGCAAATAGGTGGCACACAACTGTTTTAAATAAACCATTTTAAAGGATGAAGGTAAGGGTAAACATTAGAAAGGAGAGGGGGAAAGACCATGTAGTTTCTGAGAAGATAAAATCCCCACTCCTCCATATGCAGCTGCTAGTATGACCTTGGGTCACTCACAGTTCTCTCAGAGCTCTCCCAGTCCCACCTACAGGGTGTCTGTTGTGGGGAGGGGAAGGGAAAGGAGATTGTAAGCCACGCTGAGACTCCAAGTAAAGGGCAGGGTATAAATCCAGTCTCCTCCTCTTCCTCCTCCTCCTCCTGGAATTCGTAATTAACTTTTAGCGAAATATTATTCTATGGGCCAAACTAGATGTGACAGCAACTACAGGCCTGTCCCATGGATGCCACCCCCAAAATGCCACGAGGGCCAGATTGTGAATGCGTCCACAGTGTGGTGGGACTGAGGTGTTCTTGTCCCCCCCCCAGACGTCTTTTCAAGTACCAAGAGAGCAGGCGGGGTGTGTGTGTGTGTGTGTGGTGTTCAGTACTTGAAAAGGCAGCATTTCAGAAGAACCCAGGAAACACGGACCTTAGGTCTACAGGGAGCTCCCATTCAGAAACGCCTGCCTCTTTTATAGGAGGCTGCTTGGCTTAGAAACTCCCAACAAACTGTGATTGCTGCTTCATGGCAGCCATTTTGGGACAGGTCTCACCTCCCCATGGCAGCCATTTTGTGGTGGTGCCCACCAGCCTTCTCAAAGTTCCAGTCTCAACAATTTTGCGGACCCATACTCTTGTGGTACAGGATGAACTTAGTTCTCACCTCTGTTTGTTAGCTCTTTTATCCGTATATTAATTTGCTGCTATTCACAGGTCTTACCAACCGTCTTTAATCCAATCTCAGCTATACTTATCACCAAATGGACAGAGCCGGAGCCGCGCTGACGCGAACCGCGCGCCGGATAGGCCCGCCGATCACAGCCGACGCCGAAGACCACGAGAAGGAGAAGTAGAGGAGCCGGAAAAAATCGAAAGCCGAGCCGACAAGAAGCCGAACCGAGAGAGAAGAACAGCAAGTCCCTCCACTGGGTGCCGGTAGGGCAGCTAGCCGGCCCAATCAAAGGGCCAGCTTCCCAGCCGGGAGACCAATGGTCGCCCGGTTACTGTAAATAGCCTATCGGGAGTAGGGGGTGTGTTTAGGTGTGCTTGGTGGCGGGTTTTCTGAACGCATATAAACCAGCCTGCGAGCTGGTTCTTTGTCTTGTTCCGGAACTAATAAAGTACTCTTGCTGAATCACTCTTGCTGAATCACTCCACGTTCTGAGTACTTTTCACACATTGTGCAGGGAACGCTCTAGCATTTGGCTCAAAACTCGATGACCACCATAGAGTTTTTAGCCAATTGCTAGCGCCTCCCTGTGCGACATGACCAGCGTGATGACCTCACCCCAAGTGATGTGATCGTACCAGACACATCTGGCGCGGCAGAGCTCACCGGGGGCAGGGCTCCTCCCAGTAGCTGGCTGGCCTGTGGCGGATTGGCCCCCCGAAATCA